ATAAAGTCGAGCCATCTAGAGTATGCATTCACCATCGATTAAGAGAGAAGTTAGAAGCTTTCTAAGCCGTTTGAATTATATCGCTCGCTTCATCTCTCAATTACCCAATATTTATGAGCTAATATTTAGATTACTACGAAAGAAAAATCCTAATGTACGGAATGAACATTATCATGAGGCCTTCGATCGAATCAAGTAATATCTACAAAACCCACCACGTTTGGTACCACCTATGTTAAGAAGATCGTTGATTCCGTACTAGTCGATGATAGAAATAGTCATGGGAAGCATTTTGGGTCACCAAGATGAGTCGGGAAAGAGGGAACAAGCCATCTACTATTTGAGTAAAAAGTTCATTGATTATGAGTTGAGATATAGTGTACTAGAGAAGATGTGTTATGGTTTAATATGATACATAAGATGACTCGGACAAGTACATGCTCTATTACACTACTTGGCTAATCTCAAACTCGGATCCTTTTAAATATATCTTTTAGAAGCCATTTCTATCTAGTTGGATTACAAGATGGCAAGTTATGTTATTTGAATATGATATTATATACATGATAAGGAAGGCTATAAAAAGAAGTGTCATAGTTAATCATTTAACGAGATAATGCAATAAACGACCATGAGCCTCTAAGATCCGATTTGCTCGATGAACCAATTATGGTAGTCAAGAAAGAAGAGCATAAGTTGAAGGATGACATGTGGGTATAATATTTTGATAAGGTTATCAATGTGTCGGGAAATGGTATCGGGTCAATCTTGATTTCATCAAAAAGGAGGTAGTTCCCCATTGCAATCAAGTTACGGTTTGAATGCACAAACAACATCCACGAGTATGAAGCATGTGTGCATGGCTTATAAACAACCTTAGAAATAAAGATAAGCAAGTCTGGATATATATGATGACTCTTTACTCATAATTAGCCAGGTGAAAAGAGAGTGGCGGACGAAAGATGAAAAGCTAAAGCTCGTATCAAAAGTACTTGATGAACTTAACCGATCGGTTTGAAGAGATTGAGTTCACCTATTTAGGTAGAGAGAATAATCATTTTATCGATGCACTAGTAACACTTACTTCAATGACTAAAATTGAGTATGGGTGAAGATTTAACCTATATGCATTGAAACCAAAAATGCCCCAAGCATATTATTATGGACTCGTTGAAGAAGAATTAGATGGGAAGCCATGGTACCATGACATTAAACAATTCTTCAAAAATAGTGAATATCTTACCGATGCAACCAAGAATGATAGAAAGATGCTAAGAAGATTTGCTATGGATTTTTATTTGGACTCCGAAATCTTATACAAAAGAAGTTTTGATGACTTTTTATTGTGATGTTTGGATGTTGTCGAAGAAAAGAAGACTATAAGAGAGATTCACAAAGGAATTTATGTTACACATGCTAATGGACATATGATGACTCGATAGATTTAGCGAAGTGATTAATTTTGGATTACCATGGAGAAAGATTGCATTGACTATGGTCAAAAATGTCATAAGTGTCGGATTCATGCTGATCGAATAAATGCTCCACCAACACCCTTTTGTAATATGGTATCACCCTAGCCATTTGTAATGTAGGGTATGGATGTCATCGAGCGGATAAATTCTAAGGCGAGCAATGGGCACCCCTTCATTCGATAGCAATTGATTATTTCATCAAGTAGGTTGAAGCTACTTCCTTTGCACATATGACTCGGAAAGTCATTTGTCGATTTATTAAAAAGGACATAATCTACGGATATAGCTCTCCTAAAACCTTGATAATAGACAATGCTTAGAACTTCAATGGTAAAATGATGATAGATTTATACTAGTAGTGGAAGATAAAGCATCGTAATTCCTCTTCATATAGGCCCAAGATGAATGGAGCCATGGAAGCGATAAATAAGAACTTGAAAAAGATTATCCAAAAGATGGTGATGTCGTACAAAAGCTAGCATGAGATGCTACCATTTGTATTTCATACTTATCGAACAGACTTTCAAAACTTCAACAAGAGCAACTCCTTACTTTGGTATATGGAATGGAAGTAGTGATGCCTTTAGAGGTTGAAATACCATCTTTGAGAGTATTAAAAGATGTTGAGTTAGAAGAATCCGAATGGGTAAAAATTCAATATGAACAGTTGAATCCGATAAGTAAGAAACGACTTGGTGCTATATGCCATGCCTAGTTGTATCAAAAAAGAATGACTAGGGCATATGCTAAGAAGATGCAATGGAAAAGTTTTTCGGGAAGGAGAGCTAGTATTAAAGAAAGTGCTTTAAATATCGAGAGCAAATCGAGTAAATGGGCACCAAAATACGAAGGTCCTTATGTGGTGAAAAAAGCATTTTCGAGTGGAGCTCTCATTCGACAAACATGGATGGTGATGAACTGTCTAAGCCAATGAATTTGGATGTTATAAAGAAATATTACAACTAAGTTGTAACTTTTTTTTAGTCCAAAGCATTAAATATTTATCAAATATTATAAATTTTTTTTGTGTGAGAAATATTACTTCTTTTTTTTTTTTTTGTCGTCTTTCCCGATCAAACTTAGGATTATTCTAATTTTATTTTGAAAAGAAAAACATATTCTCAAATGTGATAAGTCCCTAAAAGCCTATTTTCTTGATCTTCCACATAATGATGTATTCATATTATCTATGAAACACGACAAACAATTCAAAATATCATAGAAGGAATGATAAAGTGGTTTACTAAGGTCTTTAATGCGACCATGCCTTCTAAATCATGCTTACTTGGAAGGTAAATTTTGGGACACCTTATGCGAGTAAGTCGCAAGAAGTCCACACAGGGGGAAAACTTGAGGGTACGGTAGACAACATCCGAGGTCTAAAAAGGAAGAGCCATCACATCCCCAAACGCTAATTGGATGGTGTTGACATGATCACATGACCTATGATCAACAACTATGGTATAATGAATAGACGGGCTCGTCGAAAAAAATAATAAAAAAATTAAAAAAAAAGAGAAGAAAGAGTAAGCCTTGCACTTCAATTGCGGATAGGAGAGGCACGACGAGTAAGAAGAGGAAATGTGGTTTGAATGATCAAGACTTATACTTCTAACAATGAAAAGCATAATTTATAAGCTAGTAATGCATATCAAATAATGACCTTATAATTCCTCATAGTTATCTCATAAAAAAAAAATTGTTTGCCCTAAACAAGAAGTCCAAAAATAACTACCTCTAATCTTTCTTGTTCAAAGCTACTTATGTAAAGTTAGACTTGGATGGTAATAGAAAAAAAAAGGGTCTTTCATATCCTTCCAAACCAATGTGGTCCGTCTTGTCCGTCTAAGTCTAAATGGTCCGCCATGCCTTGTTAAAAAAAAAAGTCATCTATTACACTCGTCTAAACCAATGTGGTTCGTCATATCGGCTTAAGTCGAATGGCTAATCATACATTAGCCTAGTCGCCGTGGTCCGTCATGGTCCCTCCAAAATGACGCAGATCCTTAAATGGTAACAAAACAAAAGATCCTTCATATCCTTCCAAACCAATGTGGTCTCGTCTCGTCCGTCTAAGTCTAAGTGTATTGTCATGCCTTCTTTAAAAAAAAAAAAATTCTATTACACTCATCTAAACCAATGGGATCCGTCATATCGGCTTAAATCGAATGGTCGGTCATACCTTAGCCTAGTCGACGTGGTCCGTCATGGTCCCTCCAAATTAATATGGTCTATCATATCCTACAAAGTCAACTTGGTCCATCACGTCATTCTAAATAGATATGGTATGTCATATCCTTTTAAGTTAGCGTGGTCCGTCATGCTTTTTCAAATTAACGTGCTCTGTCATGTCCCATAAAATCAACATAGCCTATCACGTTATCCCAAATGGATATGGTCTATCATGCCCTCTAAGTTAGCGTGGTCCGTCATATCCTTTCAAGCTAATGTAGTATGTCACGTCCTTTTAAATAGGCATGGTTTATCATGCCCTTAGCAGAGTCGAGTGGTTTATCACATCCTACAAGGCCAAAGTGATCCGTCACGTCTTGCAAAGTCAAAGTTGTCCGTCACATCTAGCAAAGTCGGAGTGGTCCGTCACGTCCCGTAAAATCGAGTGGTCCATCACGTCTTACAAAGCCAAAGTAGTCTATTATGTCCTGCAAGGTCGGAGTGGTTCATCGTGTCTTGCAAAGTTAGAGTGGTCTATCACAACTTACAAGATCAAAGTGGTCTCTCACATCTTTTAAAGTCAAAGTGGTTTGTCACTTCCAACAATATTGGAGTCATCCGTCACATCTCGCGACGTCAAAATGATCCGTCACACCTTATAAAATTAGTGATCGGTTACATCTCATTAAATTTGAATTTTTCTTTCTTTACAAAACTTTTTACACAAAGTCAAAGAATGAACTTTCAATGACTTTATAACAAAAACAATGTAAAAAGGAGGTAACTACTAGTACCTAATTTTCGCTCCTCTTTTATTTTATTTTTTTCATTATTACAAAACACAAAAAAATTATAATAAAATAAGAAAATAAAATAAAGAAAGAAAGAAAAAAAAGAGAGCGAGTTAGGATATTGAGTTTAGATTAATTCTAAAAAAAAAAAAGGAGAAGGGTAATTGAAAAAAATGAAAAAAAAAGGTTTGAAAAAGAGAGAGAGAGACAATTAAGGGTTTAATTGAAAAAAAGTCAAAGCTTCAAATCCTTTAGTTAAAATAAGGAGGGGTATAATTGGAAATAAATAAAATACAAGTCCTAATTATTAGAAATGAGTGGCTTAAATAAAAACACACAAAAAAAAAGAATCCAAATAAATGTGTGGAAGAAAATGAAGGACCAAATTGGATTTTTGTTAGAAAAAAACATAGCTATAAAAGCATCAATGCATTTGTTGGTATAAAAAACACTATTGATTGTCACGTTGAGGGAAAGGGAAAAAAGCGCCGACCACCATACACATCATACCCAAACTCTCTCTCTTATCGATAGCCCACACACAACCCTCTCTAGCTCTCTTCTATACCAAGCCAACCCTCTCCAACCTACTATCCCTTATCACACACACACATAGAGCCCGCTTAACATAGTCGTAACTCCTTCTCATCGAGCACCTGCGCCGGTCTTGCCCACTACTCGCCTTGCCGTCGGCTTCACACACAAGGCGGTAGCTCCACTCCAACTCTCGCCAACTCCACCGCTTACCGGTCCCACATCTCTCACTCCACACTAGCCATATACCTTCACCCATAAGCTACACCTTTCCCATAACGAACCAAGCTCGCCCAACATGCCTATAACCCTCTCTCCGGACATACTCCTTCACCCAAAACTCTCTCCCACAACGAGTACCAAGCCTCCCCTTACCCATAGTTCGTAGCCAAGCTCTCCCTTTCACTTACCTCCCTAGCTCAACCGAGTTATTGCCCCACGCACACATACACAAGCCACGCCTTCACATCAGCTCTCCATGCCCCATAACCCACATTTCCCATCTTTACCTCATGCCCATAAAGCTTCACCTTGCTACCTAACCAGCCAACCCACGCAACATAGCAACGAACCCACAAGCAACAACCCCTACTTCAGCCTCCTTCAAAGCCCCATTCTAGATCTTAAATACTCTCCAAAATACTACAAAATTAGCCCTTAAAGCAACCATTCCGGACCTTTAAATAACCACCAAATCTATAAAAAAAAAAAAAATTGACTCGAAAAACTCCGGCCCTAAACTCAACATAATAACCCCCATTCTAACCCACATCAAATACCCAAAATATCCCAAAAAATAGAGCCCCAAAACAGACCAAAACTTGCCCAAAAACCGGGCCCAAAATAGCCACCAACAATAGCCTTTACAACCCTACAACCATTACTAACGACTCCCAAAAACACTTACGAGAAAACCCCTTCGGACAGACCTCCTTAAACCACCAAAGTAGCCCCAAAATGCCACTAAACTAGCTTTAAAATAGCCACTAAAACACCCTTAAATACCCACCAAAACAGCCACAAAACCTCCCTTAGAACAACCCTTTAACACTTTTATTTTTTTCGATTCATCGAAAAAGGAGGAAATAAGAGAGAATAAATAAATAAAAAGAAAACCTAAATTTTTTGTTGTTGTTGTGTTGGGTTGTGTTAGTAGGAACATGATGTTGTAGACTGTATTTCTTTGATTTTTTGACAAGAAAATACAAGCAACGAAAGTCATTTTAAGTTTTTAGGAAACTCTACAAAGATTCAAGAGCGTTGTAAATTTCGCACCAACATTTGGAGTGGTTGCACAAGTAACAAAGGAACTTTTTGACATTTACTCTCCTTTTTTGGCTAACTCGTATAATCAATTTTCATTAGGATCGAAGAGAGTAAAATTAACTTTATTTTCGAAATTTTAGAGCTTTTTTGTAAAACTCTAAAACCATTACATTCTTTTCTAAAAAATATGGATGATGAAAAATGATTGGATTGTTTGTTTGTGTGAATAAAATTGTCACATTTTATTTTAAAATCCATAACCTAAATGTGGTTGAGATAAGCATTACCGTAATGGATACTAAAAGAAAAACTACATTGTTTTCTATTTTGTATGCTTATTTGTTTCAATGCGAAGTTCATGCTATTTTATAGTTCAATTGATTTTTTATGATTGGTTGCAATGATACAATAAAGTTATTGGTGACTTCCCACTTATGTGATGAAGCCGTCGATGTTTTTGAAATCATTTTGTCTGATTTTTACTTTTTTAATTTGTGTTTTCTATTTTTTTGTTTCTTTTTTTCATTCTTGTTTTCTATTTTCCGGTTTCATTGCTTATTTCATCGAAATGAAGCCACCGATGGCTTCCCACTTATGTGACGAAGTCTGTCGGTGGGTTCTAAATAATTATCTCGCTCCTTGTTTGAGCTAACTAAAGTGATTGGTAACTTCTAACTTATGTGACGAGGTTATCATTAGCTTCAAACTCATGACTCGAAGTCATTGATGGCTTCCCACTTGTGTGAATAAAGTTATCGGTGACTTACTCGTTCATATCAATAAAAGGCTATTTATCTTTAGAAACTTACCCGTTTATCGATAATAGATTGTGTTCGCTAATGATTAGACGAAATTGTAAATTCCCTAACATTTTCCCTTTGGGTAGGGAGTATTGGTCTTAAACCGACTTGAACTCCTAAACTACCCTACTTTACATCCGAACCATCCTGTTTTATACTTTTACCAAATAAACTTATTTAAATAGGCATAAAAGCATAACACAATACAAAATTACATTTTATATTCATAAGTAAATAATACATTCTACTTTATGTAGGACGGGATGGTGGTGATGTCACATCTTCCCCATACGTAGCCAACCCCTTACCTAGATATTCATATAGACCGATATGTTTTGGGTTTTCTAGTCTCCCCGATTAGCTAGGTGGTGACTCCATGTTTCGACCTCTTTCGCAGATGGGCGACATCGACACAACTTGTAATTCAATAGGTACCATGCCTCTTGCCTCTGTAAAATTCTCAATAAAATCACATATTGAAATATCGGTATTAGTTAAATCTTTGTTGGATTTTTCAAGAGTTTTAAGCATGCCGATTGGTATAATATTAAGCTATGACACCATTATCAATCAATACTTTATCTACTCGAAAAACCATTTATAAATTTTTTAATATATAAATTTTTTACATGCTTGCTTTTAGATATCTCCGATTTTTCAAAAATGATTAAATGCTTACTAGTATATCCTTCGTAGCTTAGATTTGCTTTTCTTCAATATCATCCATTTCCATTTTTGCAATAGTGTTATTAATAACATCTTTAGGTTTATGTTCTAATTATCCCGCCTTTGTCAAATGGACAACTAGCAAATTGAGAATCATATCACACTCGACTAATTTTGTCGATCCTATTATAGGACTTTAGTTATTTTGTGAGTCTTCATCTATGATGATTTCAAAATCATCACCATTGTTGAAATTAGTTTCATAACTAGACTGGATGACTTCCTTCCTTTTTTCGGAACTTATGGTTTCATTTGAAGTGATCATTGATTTGGGCTAACCTCTTTACAAAATATTGACCTTTATCCAAGTATTTTTTATCTTAGGATATTTGGACCTTTTTTACTTTTACTATTTTTCAAATTCATCTTTTCTATTGAGTTTTGGACATTGATGGGGGACTTTCGTGTTTTGACTCGTCTTGGAGGACTATTATGTTTTAGCTATCTTGGAGAAGAAAATTAGATCCTCTTCAAAACTCGATTTTGGCTTCTTCGAGTTTTAGAAACCTTGGAAACTTGCTAGCCTTATCGAGTTATTTTTTCTCTATTGACGAGTCTTCGATCATTAGTCCTTCGATAGGGATGACTTTTTGACTTAAAATGAACTCGAACAGGAGAGGATTATTTATAATTCCTCGACATGTATTCCCTTCGGCATCATCCGTAATCTTTTCAACTTGAGCTATGGTCTCTCCGATTAAAACCATCGGATTCCAAGTCATCCGATGAGTAGCAATCATTTCCCTCATCTTTTCTATAAAGTCGCTTGTAGAACCTTTGTTGACTTGAATCCGTTAGTGTTAGTGCCAAGATCCAACCATGTTTGGATAGGCTTATGTTAATATGTTATTGCATTGTTTATTTTAATAAATAATTAAGAAATCATTCTATTAATTCTTATGTTTACATGTTGATGAATTCGGTAGAATTAGATAGAAGTCCTTATGATTTGTATTTGCAATAGTGATTGATCAAAAGATGTGAGACAAACACAAATACAAATAAATGATATCATTAAATATCCTAAGTCGTAGCATTATCAAGAATGGACATTGACAATATACGGATAGACTTTTGAGTGCTATGCTCATGCTATATGATAGCGAGTAGGAGATCTCACATCTATTGGCATGGTGATGCCAAAGTAAGCACTTAAGTGATTTATATCGGAGAACATATCACTGAATTTGACTCTCCATGATAACCCATTTTGTTTTATTCTATGAGAATCTTATATGAGATAGGTATAAATGATCCTTAGACTTGAAGTCATCACGGTTATCTCATTGGAGGACTTATAAACTTTGACACTCATTTCGATGGACTCATTAATGGGTTATACATGGGTGATTCATTAGGTGCACTAGGAATCCAATGGAGATATGTGTATGAGTAAGATAGGACATGTCATTCTTTGTATGCTAAAGGAGTTATCACATTGTACTTCGATAAATGGCTACTCAAGAAATGCGTGGCCACAATAGCGAGTACACCAATATAACATAGTTAGTTTACCCTAAGAGCTAAAGCATTTGAGAGTCGAAGAAAACTTATGGGATCATAATCAAACAAGACTAATAACCAAGTTTGAGATCACACTATGATAAGTTGACATGAGGACTGAATTGTATGGTAACCATGCTCATGAGAGGTAATAATGGATTAACTAATCCTCCTAGAGAATTGGGTAGTCACGATACCTTGATAGAGGCCAATCTTGAGTTATGTATCAAGAGATGAAGGAGGAGTCCTTTATTTTTGATACATTGCCAACATATCTAGGAGCCAATTAAGTCATACGCATAAGTTCAAGTATTCATATTACAAATGAGAAGCAAAGATATTGGAAAAAGTTTTCAATTATGAAAGTTTCTTATTTTGGAAAGATTTTCAAAAATGAAAAGTTTCATAAAATGAAAAGTTTTCTATTTTAGAAATTGGTTTCCTAATTTGGAAGTTAGTTTCAAATTTGAAAATAAAGAATCTAAAAAGAAAGGAGTTTCCTAATTTACGTTAAAGGGTATTTTGGAAAATTATTTTCTAATATGGACTCGGACAAAATAATCTAAGAATATTTATTTGGATAGTCTAAATAAATTAATTGGGATAAAATAGTTTTGACGCATTAGGCTTAATTAAAAGCCTTAAGATAATTTTGATAGGAGGATAAACATCAACCTTATTGGATAAGGATGAATATTTTAAAAATAAACATTAACCTTATTGGATAAGGTTAAATGTTTTAAAGATAATAATCAAGTAGTCCACATATAAAATAACTCCTCATCCTTGAAGGATAAGGAAGCAATAACCTAGAGTCTCTTTTGGACTCAAAGCCGTCACTCTCCTTGTCCTTGGAGGACAAGGAAACTCTCCCCTATATATAGGAAAAGAGATGAGGCAAGGAAGAGAGGATGACCTAAAAAGAGTATTTTAGCCAAGTAAAATCATAAGATAAAATTCAACC